CTTTAGTGGCTTATAAGCCATTTTGAGATATTTGGCAAGTGACGTTTTTTAACTTATAATCCACCAAAAAATAAGCTAGGGTGCACTAGCTTATTTTTTTAGCGGATTGCAAGCCATGAGGTTTGACTAAGTAAAAGATAATCATACCCTCATGATTTCATCAAATCCAAAGCCTTGTTTAGTAACTCACTACTCACTAGCAGCCTCATGTTCTTTTAAGTCATTTTGTCAACAATTATGGATTATAATCCACACATTTTGCAAAACACTCTACTCTTGAAATAGTGAATTGAAGTTTCCTTCTCTCTCCATCAACTTCAAAACTAGTTTCTGCAGCCTATGACTCTTATGTTATGTCTGGAATAGAACAAGAGGTTCTCAGTTCTTCTCAAGTTTTTTGTAACTTTTGGTGTATGTTTGCTTCACTCCTCAGGAACTTTTTTCTTTCTAATTTTAATATAAACTTATTTGCTGAGCAAAAAAACTCTACTTTTGAAATAGATTACAATTGACTAAATACCAAACATTCTAGATGACAATTCACTTGGATTATAATATTTGAGCTATATTGGGTTATATACAGCTTTTAAGCATCAAGAGTCATTCTCAGAGCCAGCAAATCAAACACAAAATATCGAGACTCATTCGGCTGCTAGTCCAGCCATTGACACAATAGCCAATCTGTAATTATTTCCCAACTACATTAATTAACATTTGGATTTGTATTGGATAAATTGGCACATTTTTCTCTGTAAATGTCCATGAGAATCCTAATGACCAAAGATAATGTTTTTGGATCAAAGATCAGATAATATATAGTTTTCAGCCATCTATTAATCATTCCACTCACTGGAACATACAGAGAATTGTAAGACACAGGATATTCCATCCTCCAGACTCCACAGTCCACACAAAGTTAACCACCTATCGAGGTACTGTATTGCACATATGGGATGAGATATCATGGGGAATTTCATCTGAACATGCAACGACCAGATTTTTCTTTTACACCAATTATTAGCTAATTTTTTAATTCAAGTGGGTAAAATGGACCGCTGAACCAACAGAAGTTTGTACCTGACTAAAAATACTTAGGATCAAACACATTTAATCTGTAATTCATGACAATAAAAAAGTAATTATTTCATATCAGGGACTTAAATATGTACCGGCAGTATAAACCTTTAACCTGTCCATTTCTTTTACATCAAGCTGCCCACTGTGTCTCAGCTTCTGTTGCCTATCATCAATTAAATTGACATGCCCCTTTCCCATGTCCAGGGAATATCCCTAGGTTGGCAGTCCAGTCAAGTAAGCAACTATCAGTAAACAAGAAGTTAGTTTAATGAATTAGTACTTGTAATCATCGAGACACTTAGATGATGAGTGAGGGCACCTAAGTTATGACTGGAGGTAAAGAAAGTTAAATGACTGCTAAATATGCGAGAATGTAGCATTTAACTATTCTAAATAGACTTTTGATACGCTTTGAAGAGCAATTTGGATCATTTCAATTCCTAAGTGAAGGAATATAGCAGGAGAGGGAACAAACACTAGGCAGTCACAGATTTATAGATGTGGCTCTCCCTGGCTTTCATACCACTTTTAGAAAATTTACCACCCCAAGAGATTCTATCTATTAGCCAAGTTGATCCAACCTAATATACTTTTCTTCAGCAAACAAAAGTATGTACACAATACCTTTCTTGTGCAATTAGTACAGTAAAGTAGGTAGAGCTTCGTGTACAACCTTATGCAGGCAAATAGGTATGAAAATTGCATGGCACTCTTTACCTGCATGTATCATAAGCATACTAAACAAACTACGCATATTGTGATAAATATTAGCTCAACATTCATGATTTGCATAAAACAGCTCAAGTAAATAGCACAGAAACCAAACTGAAGGTATTGCATAGCACATGCAGGAAGTACCTAAAAATTGAGCTGCCTTGCATCTAGCAATCTTCCAATAGTAATCAGGGGAAAAGGTTGAAAAATCTACCTATGGTAGCCTGTAGAAGCCTACAACAATAGGAAAAAACTATATCAGACCATTTTATGAAGAGAAAAATGCCCCCAAAAGCCAAGAAAACGTGCTTCCCACCCCCAAGACTTTGTCAACGGGTGTTTTGCCCCCAAAAATAAAAATTCTGTTCTCCGAGCCCCCAAAACACAAAACCCAAGATATTAAAATATGTGAAGACCATAATACCATTCTCTCTCTCTTTCTTTTTTTATTAAAATATGATGAAGATTATTTTATTATTTTCGTTTTCTCTCTCTCTTTATCATGATGTACTGAGATGATAGTTGAAATGATTGATGAGGATTATTTTATTATTTTTGTTTTTATTATTTTCGTTGTTTGTATTGGGAGATTGTTAAAGTTATGGGTTAATTGTTAATGTTACGAGTTAATTGTTAATGTTACGGGTCAATTGTTAAAGTTATGGATCATATCTCTCTCTCTCACATGATGTTACTTTGATGATATTGAAATGATTGAAGAGGATTATTATTTTATTATTTTCGTTTTTTATTCTTTTCGTATTTTTAAAATATTCGTTGTTAAGGATAATGGTTGGTTGTAAAGGTTATGCATTGATTGTTAAGGTTACGGGTTGATTGTTAAGGTTACGGGTTTGTTGTTAAGGTTATGGATTTGTTGTTAAGGTTACGTGTTTAATTGTTAAGGTTACGAGTTTAATTGTTACGGTTACGGTTTAATTGTTAAGGTTACGGTTTAATTGTTAAGGTTACGAGTTTAATTATTAAGGTTACGGTTTTAATTGTTAAGGTTATGGATTTAATTGTTACGGTTACGGGTTTAATTGTTAAGGTTACGGTTTAATTGTTAAGGTTACGGGTTTAATTATTAAGCTTATAGGTTTAATTGTTAAGGTTACGGTTTAATTGTTAAGGTTACGGGTTTAATTATTAAGGTTACGGGTCAATTGTTAAGGTTACGAGTCAATTATTAAGGTTACGGGTTTAATTGTTAAGGTTACGGGTTTAATTGTTAAGGTTATGGGTCAATTGTTAAGGTTATGGGTTTAACTGTTAAGGTTACGGGTCAATTGTTAAGGTTACGGGTCAATTGTTAAGATTACGAGTTTAATTGTTAAGGTTACGGGTTAATTGTTAAGGTTATGGATCTCTTCTCTCTCTCTCGTAATATTAATTAACAATTAAACACGTAACTTTAACAATTAAACCCGTAACCTTAACAATTAACCCGTAACCTACACAACAAACCCGTAACCTTAACAACCAATCCGTAACATTCACAACCAATGCATAACATTTACAACCAACCAACCCGTAACCTTCACAACCAATGCATAACAATTAAACCCGTAACATTAACAATTAAACCCATAACCTTCAGTTAACAAGACGCATGATTTTTAACGGTAATTAAACCGCCCTATCGAGTTGAAAATTTGAAAATATTAGTTCCCAAGTGGCTTCCGAGTAAAAAAAACATGTGGCGAATAGGGGATAATAGGATTTGAATTTTCGAAGCTAGCTTACATGAGAGCATCCATGGCCATCAAAGACTCTGAAGAAGTGAAACTTCCCAGCGACAGCCGAGCTTCCCTCCACAAAATCGGGCCGGATCGAGACGGCGTCCTTCATGTCCCGTCTCCTCCCACAGACCGACGTCAACCCGTAACCTTAAAAAAAAAGATTACGAGTTAATTGTTTGTAACCTTCACAACCAATGTATAATCTTTACAACCAACCAATCCGTAACCTTCACAACCAATGCATAACCTTTACAACCAACCATTATTTTTAACAATTAACAATTAAACCCGTAACTTTAACAATTAAACCCGTAACCTTAACAATTAAACCCGTAACCTTAACAACAAATCCGTAACCTACACAACAAACCCATAACCTTAACAATAAACACGTAACCTTAACAACCAACCCGTAACCTTAACAATCAATGCATAACATTTACAACCAACCATTATCCTTAACAACGAATATTCTAAAAATACGAAAAGAATAAAAAATAAAAAATAATAAAATAATAATCATCTTCAATCATTTTAATATCATCAAAGTAACATCATGATAGAGAGAGAATAATAAAATAATAATCATCTTCAATCATTTTAATATCATCAAAGTAACATCATGATAGAGAGAGAGATAACAATTGACCCGTAAAATTAACAATTAACTCGTAACCTTAACAATTAACCCGTAACTTTAACAATCTCCCAATACAAACAACGAAAATAATAAAAATAATAAAATAATTCTCATCAATCATTTCAACTATCATCTCAGTACATCATGATAAAGAGAGAGAGAAAACGAAAATAATAACATAATCATCATCATATTTTAATAAAAAAAGAAAGAGAGAGAGAAGGGTATTATAGTCTTCACATATTTTAATCTCTTGGGTTTTGTGTTTTGGGGGCTCAGAGAACAGAATCTTTATTTTTAGGGGCAAAACACCCGTTGACAAAGTCTTAGGGATGGAAAACACGTTTTCTTAGCTTTTAGGGGCTGGAAGCATTTTTCCCTTTTATGAAAACAGTCTGTCAGAAAAGCAGCTTATGAATAGGAAAATAGAATCTGCTACAGATCCACCTATGCGCCCTCATTTTACTAAAATCTCGCTCAGAATCTCTAAAAAATATTCAGGTTAAACTAAAAAAATATCCGATCACATACAAGTATTTGATTTATAATATTAATCTTCATACTAGTATTAATATTATGTTAAATGATTAAGATATAGCTCGACTTCCGTGCCCCCTTTAGAGGATTCAAACAGGGGTCTGTCCTTTTTCTCCATCCCTCTGCAAATGTATAAAGCAGCAGTAACTTCTATTGTATTCCATGTTATAATTACGATAACAGTGTGGACATGCTGGAACAATATTACTGGAAACAGGTTTTCTGAGTCCTGGTTAAACCGCGTTATACACGGCATTTGAGTTTTAATATTTCATTACAATTCCTTTAAATATTCATTGGCTAATCTATTGCATTTGTTTCCCTGATATTCATTTATTCTCACTTAGATGGTTAGTACATATCAACTGGGCACCATAAAATATACCTAGGAGAAATGCTCCTTACAACCAAAACCATGAGGGAAATACTCCCAATTGAGGAGGGCAGAAGGAAACCCCAGTTCTGGAAATTCCATAAATTTTGTCACATTTATTAATGGAAAAGAAGTTGCACTTCATTTATTTCAGAATGCTTGAATAAGTATTATCCGAGGAAGTTGGCCAGCAAGCACACCAAGTAATCCGGTTGTTCCCGCTACTGCAAAAACAAAAGATGTCTTCATCAAGAGATGAAATCCGCCATAGATGAATACAGATGTAGTATGAAAGCAAAATAGTTAATAAGCTCTGAATTACTCTAGATTTTGAATCTTAGATTCTTGCAACAAGATTTCTAGGATATATCGGGGCTCTAGACCACTGACATGGATGTTGTAGCTATGAGTTACTCCTTCATCAAGAAATAAAAATCCGCCATAGATGAATACAGACGTAGCGCAAAAGTAAAATAGATAGTTAATAAGCTCTGAATTACTCTTGATTTTGAGTCTTAGATTCTTCCAACATGATTTCTAGGATATATCGAGGTTCTAGACTACTGACATGGATGTTGTAGTTATGAGATGCTCATTCAATATATTGATATATAAACCATGCATTATGAAAGTATAAAACTCATAATCGCTGAAGGGATTATGTATCCAGTTGTCGAAGCAGGACAATTATCTAGAATAGACAATATATAAGTCATAAAATTCAGGGGAAAAAAATGCTAAAATCAAATTTAGCTCTCGAAATGGTTCAAGATCTAACATTTCCTTTCCTTTTTTTTTTTTTGTTAATAAGATAAATGACACGTGATAACCAATGTAATAAATTCTAGTCCAGAAATGAATGATATATACTAGAAAAATAATCTTAATGCTAGATGCTTACGTGAGTCACAATACTAATAATTAGTAGCAACATGAAGAGGATGTTCAGTGTGTCATAGGGCTTAACACTTACAATACTTGTTATTGCCAGGTTCTCTGCATTTTTTATTCCAAAAGAGGTCAGCTCCCATAGAGTTGCCTACATCAAACAGACGTTATGTCACAAAAACACTTATTATTAAATTTGACGACGAAAACAAATATCAGAAGAAAATATAGATTAAATCATTCACCTAAGCACTTGCCCAGAACTTCATCTTAATGGAGAACTAACCACATGGTGTGACACATATGGTTAAGAACTCCATATTTTTGGCCCAACCAATTTGGCTCAGCCGGTCAAGTGCTCCTTCAACAGCATCACCATCTTTCTGCAAAAAAAAAATGAACTCTATCAATCCAAGTGCAGATCCATGTGCAGATGCAAAGCGCGCTATAAGCTAACAGTTTTGTAGTAATTTTGGTTGAAGCTTTGCACATTCTATTTACAACAGTTTCTTTAGAAAAAAAACGGTGCTTGTATGAGACATGTAGAAAGAACAAAATGAAATGGGACACAGTACAGATTCAGTAAGTGGTTAACTACAACTAGCTTAATAGTTATGAGTGTTAGATAGTATGATGCACATTAATTCTTATGAGTGTTAAATATTATGATGCACATTAATATACAACAAAGTGCATTGCGTTGCCTTGGTTTTCTCTTCTCCACTAATCCACATTAACTTGCAGCTTCTTGAGATTACCGCAGAAAAAAATTAAGGACCACACAAAGACAGCTGAATCCATGGTATGTTAATCAGGAAACGGCGCGAGGATCCATGAATCATAGACACAGATAGGCGTACCCATTTACACACGGATGCAGGCATAACAGGATTAAAATTTCCCCCGCAACAAAAAAGGAAGCAATCCTCCCAGTATCAAAAAAGGAAATCCTAAAAATTTAAAGCCTCGTCTATCCCATTTTTTTTATATTTTTTTTACGAGATGTCCTTACCATTTTCTATACTTCGAATTAAGACGATAAATTTCCACAATCTAGCGATCCTTTTCAATTAAGAGACAAACATAAAAGAACATAAACCTTAAACGAAATCAAATTAAGGGGAAATTTCGAGGAATCAGGATTCAACCTTGGCAATGGCGGCCTCAATATTCCCCGGGTCGACCCCGGGCGCGGCGGAGGAAGCTCCGATCCACCATTTCCTCTTGATTAAAGAGCTCCTCCGATGAGATTTGGGAGAAGACATCGATGTCTTTGGGCGCGAGGTTGCCAAACGAGGGGGCACGGGCGATGCACGTGTCTCTAAGGCAATATTACTCCTCCTCTTTCGGGGTAATTGCTTACAAGCCCCTTAATCATTCTTTAATTGCGAAAACTTCCACATAAACTCAATATTTTCCAAAACCTCCCCAAATCATCATTTTTATTGCCAAAACCTCCCTTTGATTATTTAACGAGAGTTAAACTCAGCCAAATCTAACGAAGAATTCCCACTATACCCTTTCTCATTAAAGTCTAAACGTTTAGACTCCTACACACCCGGATTATAGTGGGTTTATTCCCTTCTTCTTCAATGGTAAAATCCTCAAACCCACAAAATAATAATTTCAATGGTAAAATTCCCACACAAAGCTTATATAATCCTATAAACTCTTTGTTATAGTTTGTACCTCTTCATCTCGTCTAACAAAATTCCTAAAAAAGAAATGTGTTTATGGTGAGGGACAATGTTGCAAGGCTCGTCTTCAATTCTTATGCTGGTGAAGCTGCGGTTAAGGGTTTTCCAATGTTGGGTTAAGGCTTGACCCAGCTGTAGTTAGAAAACATAATAGAAAATTTAATAGAGGGAGGTTTTGGCAATAAAAATGATAATTTAGAGGAGGAGTTAGGCAAATACTAAGTTTTGGGGGAGGTTTTGGCAATTAAAGAATATGTAAGAGGCTTGTATGCAATTCCCCCTTCCCTTTTTTGTACCTATCAAATCTTTTAACTGTGAATTACAATTTTAAATGCTACGGAAACCCAGAAATGCATGGGACGGACTTGGAGGACAGTTGAAGTGGAATGATGAGGTGTCAATTGCAGTTAGCGTTAATTAATGTAAATTAATAGAGGGGGGGTTGAGAGCATCTCCAACCGCTTCCCCATCTTCTTGAAATACTCAAATTTGGAGAATATAGAGTTTTTTTTTTGTCCAACAGATTCTCCATCTCATTCCCCAAAATAGGGAAGGAGGAGAAAAAATAGGGAGCCTTCCCCAAATCTGCAGCATTCTCCAAATTTTTTGGGGAGAGCTTTATTATTATAATAAATGCGATTTTTTAAAATGGGGAAGCTGTTGGAGTTGGAGCAAAAATAATTTGGAGAATATGACTTTTGTTTCTCCATTTTGGAGAAATTTTTGGGGAAGCTGTTGGAGATGCTCTGACAAGAAATTTTTATTTTTTTTCGTGTTCTTATCCAATGAAACCTCACCGGCCCTCACCCTTCTGTCGGTAGCGTCGAGGACGTTATGATCCTTCAAGGAACGGCACCACCGTCTTTTCACCAGCAGCGACAGTGTTCCTATTTCCTATTTTTTTAGGGTTTTTCTATAGAGTGCCCATCATCATTCTATAAGAGATGAGTGAGGTAGAAAAAAGTGAATTGCCCATAGACCATCCTGATTTGCACTAAATTCTATGGGCAATTCACTTCTTTCTATCTCTCTCCTCTCTTATAGAGTGCTCATGTGCACTCTATAGAAAAACCCTTTTTTTTAATATCTTTTGCCTCCTACCATCTTATATGTTCTATCTGTGTGTATCCAATGGGGACGACCCAAAATATCAAATGTGTATTTGAGATATGAATATCTTTAAATCAATGCACGAATCACGGAATTTATTAATCCAATGGTTCATATTTCTTGAGTGCTCGTTTAATGCCACGAGTCGTCTCTACTACATACTTTCTCTAAGTGGAGAGAGATGATGTTGATGACGGAGGATTGTGTTGCGATTGGTCATCATGCATGGAAACTTAAGCTTCGAGATTTCTATTAATGAATGGGGGAAAATGATGTAGGACGCTTAACGGACAATTTTATGAAGGATTCGAAGAATCATGAGCTACACGTATTATTGACTTCCGTAAAGAAACAATCATATTTTTCAATCCGGAAGGTGAATTCTGACATATTGCATATGTAAATCGCCTATCTCGACGAGACGGAGCCAACCAGATTGTCAGATTTTTAAAATCTCATCAGTAATACCTACTTTTGACTGAAATCCAAAAATAATCAGTTTCTAGTTTATTTTTAACAATAAAATTGGAGTCTAATTAGATTAGGAAATAAATTCAATATTAACAATTACATCAGGAAACAAATTCAATTTTGATTCATGATTTGTTTCCTCTATTATAGGGAGTTTTTTTAGGATAGAATTTGATACTCAAATTCAATTTTGATTCATGATTTGTTTCCTCTATTATAGGGAGTTTTTTTAGGATAGAATTTGATACTTTCTATTTCTTTGTAATTCTAATTTGTTTCCTCTATTATAGGGAGTTTTTTTAGGATAGAATTTGATACTTTCTATTTCTTTGTAATTCTAGTTTTATTAGGAGTCTTGTTTATTTTCTATTTAAGCTGAGAATTGTAAGTCCTAGAAACATATCTTTTCATCAATAAAATTACTTTTTTAATATTTTCTTCGTGGATTGGAAGTTCTTTGTGGATTCGGAGATCGTTCTTTGTGGATTCAGAGAACACCCTTAGTGGATTCCGAAGTTATCACTTCCGCGGTGCGTCACAAAGGGGATCAATAGCAGAGCTGTGGCGAATTTTGACACGTTAAAAGTAACTTTTCCGAGAAGGGTTAACGATTTGTTGATTTTAGATAAATTGATGCTTTATTTTTCTTATGTATTTCTCTACAAAGAAGAAAATTAAGTGTAAATGCAGAAATGGTTGCTGGAGAGCAAGTAGGCTCAAATGTCTCTTTTTGTTAAATCAGATATTAATTTATGGGGAATTATCTTTCTGTTGATTGATAATATGACGAATTTCCCTCCGAGTGATCTAAATTGGATAAGTTAATTATTGTAGGGATTCATACATGGCTAATCGTTTCATCCATGGCCAATCATCATCCCCAAATCAAAAGACTCAATTTGTAGTGGACAGTTACAATTTAACATTTCTTCTATAAGTCAAGTCAAATAAGAGAAAATAACTCCAAATAAAAAGAATTTATTTGCTCTTTTCATCAGTGGAGGCAGTGGATGGAGAAGTAGCAGGACGTCTTTGGGTGAAGGAGAAGGAAGAATAAAAGGGTTGAGAATTCGACTACTCCGAAGTTGCCCTTGGTTGCTTCGATGACTCCAACCTGAATGATCGATTTGAATTTTTATAATGCAGCCACATTGTCACAATCTATTTTGACTAGTTACGTAATACGATCGAGTTAAACTTGGATTATTCTGATACCATTTACATATCCAAAGCTAGTATTATGACAAGCACCAAAGTTTTTTAGACATCCGAGATGTAATTGGGCCACGTGCCCTTGAGTTTTTTTCAGTCGCTACCGATTTAATGCCTACCAGCTGTCAATTGAAAACCGAATTTAGTGGCAGACAAAAATAAATTTGACCATTCTACCCCTAGGTCTAGTACAACTTTGCATAGTGAAGTGTTTACCCTGTTTCTTTGGCTAAAAGACTAATCTGATCTATGTACTAGGGTCTCAAACACAAATTGGTCCTCTCCCTTTTTTTCCCTAGAGCTTTGCTACAGGGACCCAAAATATGGGACCAATAAAAGGGACAAGTGAGTTGTCCCCCTCCTATTGAATAATGAGTTGACCATCATTAATGATGACCAACTCATTATCCAATAGGAAGGGGACACCTCACTTGTCCAATAATGAGTTGACCATCATTAATGATGACCAACTCATTATCCAATAGGAAGGGGACACCTCACTTGTCCCCCCTATTGGTCCCATATTTTGGGTCCTCAATAGGAAGGGGACACCTCACTTGTCCCCCCTATTGGTCCCATATTTTGGGTCCTTAAAGAATTTTTCTTTTCCCTAATAATTAATGTTTCTAAATTATTACTTTTACTCAATTATTTCATGTTTGTGATTATTTTGTAGAATGTTGACGCATGAAGTCCACTTACAGAATTGAGCCTGTGAGAGTAGACTCTGTCATAGAGGGCCCCTGATAAATTAGCTTTGATTACAGAAATAAATCTTCTTGTCTGGGTATAGTTGAGTCTGTTTGGCTTGGTCTGAGATCAGGAAAAGTACCAGATTGACGATGGTGGGCTATCCACCAACGCTCATCTGATACCTAAGTCAGATCCTTGATAAAAAAAAATAGTAAGCAAAAAATAATTAGGCTAGGGTTTTAGAAGAAGTTAGCCTTAAACCAGGTTGGCAGAGGCAAGCCTAGGTCAAAATCTCTCTTCTGTTTCATTCTGTTTTACCTTAGGTAGAATGAGCATTTATATATTGGTTGCCCAGGCAGATCAGTCCTACACGTGTCGCCATCCTGACGCTGAGGTTGTTGTAGTGTATACTTGATTCATAAACAATATATCATAAATACGATTATTAGAGATTATAACAAACATTAATATATTTAAATAAATTAAGGAATGAACATTTACATGTATGCGCATTTCTCCTTTTATTTACTATTTCCAAACACGTACACAAACAGCTAGAGAAATTATAGATACATTAAAAGCTCATGAGCAACTTTTTGGGCTTTCATATATTAGAGCATGATTCATCAACAGGGGGGCATGTTTTTGGGAGGGCGCAGCATCTTCTGCCATGGCTTTTTACCATTCTTCACAACGAAGACAGCATCCATCCCCCACGTGCTGTGTCGCTCCAAATGACAATGCATGAACCATACACCTACGTACAGAAGAAATTAATTAATTAGTATCAATTCAAGCTTATAATATTAGTCAAAATTTTCAAGCTTTTTTGTAACAATTTATGAAATAATGGAATATTGTAGTGATTAAAAATAATGATCTTTTTCAATGATTTCTTGCAAGATATATAACTATTTAAATACCAAATAAGTAGAAATAATTAAAGGGATGGTCACCTGGATTATTAGCCTTGAACCTGACGGCAGCCCACCCATTTTTAGGCACGCCGATGGTATTCTCCAGAGGCGGGTCCTTCCTTCAAATTATAATTCTTGGGATCCCTCTTCTCGTCGAAATTCCCAACGCCCGTGCCCACCACG